GACCTTTCTCTTATGTTCATTCCTAAAACGTTCCTAGCCATAGGGTTGCCAATTGGGCATTGACAATCCGCTAAGGTTAGTATGTGTTATGTCGACTCAAGTATGGATATGACAAGTCTCAAGTCATTTAGTGTTGGACACTAAGACAAACACATAGGTGCTCGAAAGAGTAATCGAGTACACTGAACTATGATCAAAAGAGAGTTCAAACATACATGTCATGTAAGAACTCGATGGTTACAATATGCAAAGTAGTCCTTTGACCTGAGGCATCATAGATGTCTAATGGTTAGGTCCTTGATCTTTGATCGTGTCAAATGGCATTCCTTTGAAGTGTCCACGGCATGGTTGGGGTCAAGCTATCTAGTCATGTAGGCATATGAATGCACAACAAGGGATCTCTAACCTTCCATGGTGGAAGGAGAATACTCTAAGATATGATTCGAGAGTCTTTGGCCAAAGCATATGAATATGACTTAGGAAGTTTGTTCCAAATCTTATTCAAGCGAATCATATAGGGAAGTATCACATTGGATAGTAGACATGAAACAAACTATCACTTCAACAATGTGATTAAGAGTATTGTATTAGAGAAGGACCGTATTGCATTGTAGTTGTAACTGGATAGGTTCTCCAACCACTTCTACTTAGCTTGGGTAACCATGACATGCTGCTAGGTGTCACTCATGGTTTGTGGAAGCCCTAAAGATTAGCAAACACTAATCTTAAGGGAGAATTGAAATATGGTTTAAATTCACAATCGATAGTTAAGAGTAACATTGCCCACTGTCTCGCTAATTGGAACCTAATGGATCGTACACCGAGTAAGGATGAAAGTGAGGTAATTAAATGAAATGGATAAGCAATTAAATGGTTAATTGAAGTATGGTCAAAGTTAATTAATTAGTTAATTAATTATACGAAACGTTCGTATTGGACTTCTAAGTTGGTTTTGGGTTTAGGGGCCCAAAAGTGTTTTGGTCCACAAGGCCCATTATGTTTAAGTTGTATGACAACTAAAACAAAATGGGCAATTAGCCCAAACACTTAGAGAGGTCGGCCATTAATAGTGAGGGATACCAAACTTGTGTTAATTACAAGTTTGCCACTCACAAGAAATGAAGTATAAATTCAAAATTATAACTTTATTTTGTTAGGGTTTTTCTTGATGAAATTAAAAAAAAAAAAAAAAAAAAAAATTATTCTCTCTATTTCAACAAGGGAGGCCGGCCACTTAGGGAGGGATGTCTAGCAATTTCCTCTCCCCTAAGTCATCCACTTTTATCTTCACAATTAATCTTTGGTGTAGAGACTTGGAGACATCAAGCTTTTGGTGTTTTGGAGAACATATCCTCAAATCCTCAAGGAAGCAAAGGAGGTGACTTGAAGGCCCTCCACTTGGGTGAATCCCTTGTGTAATCAAGGATGAGCTACAAGGGTAATGATTCTCTAAATCCTTTCTTCTCTTTAATGTTGTTAAAGAGTTATGGTTTACCATATACTAGGCTTTGAAAGTCATGGGTTTTATGAATTGTTTTTGGATGCATGCCTACTTTAATTTGTTAATAGTTTGCCTATGTATTCAAATGTTCTTTACATGTTCTTAGTAAGGACATAAATTTTCCTTCACACACCACGTGACCACTCTCATACTTCTTTTATTAAATTTTTTTTTCTTAGTTTCTCTCCAATCAAGTTTGGACAGCTAGCATCAAGTTGCTTGCTTTTCGTAAAAAGCCATAGGCTATCAGAGCCATAGGCTATCAAACCCTAGCATATTGATTTTTCTCATAAAAAATGATGGGGTGTCAAGTTGAAGATGTCTTTACTATTAAGTATTGGTATAGAGTCCAATCTTTATGCATCCTAGTGCGCCACTTTGTTTTCTACATCCACATATTTGACACCTTTATTTCTCTTTAAATTCAACAAAAATTAATATGATCTCTAAAAAAAATATTTTATAAATTACTACGAACTTGTAATCACTTGAAGTTTTATTTCATGCCACCTAAATCCGGCTAGGCCCCGCCTAACAGCCTAGGCACTAGGCCCCAGTCCACCAGTCGAGTAACGCCTAGCGTCTTTTAGAACCTTAGTAAAAAACCATAGTATAGTATACCAGTTCATAATAATGTTTAAAGATCCCAGGCTCCTCGGGCACAACAGTTGTGAGTACAGCCTCTTGTTCAGCATCGGCAAGAGAAAGTGCTCCCGCTAGTTCTAAAATGCCCCTTGTTTACTCAAACATGTCCTGCAAAAAGAGCACTAAGATTGTAACTTTTAAGATCTCAAAAATTTAAAGACTTGAAAGACGTTTCACCTTTATTGAGCCGCAGATAACATCATGGCTAAGAAGAACTACACCATCTACCATGTCCTTGCATAAGCGGAAGGTCTCTTCACTGACCTCTTTCACAGCCATACCATCTGTGAAACTGCCAACCTGGTCCAACATTTTCTCTGGCCATGATGTAGTAACAATGCCATTGCATTTGCATCAAAGGGCTCCACACCAATAATCTTTACCTGCATAAGAGATGGCACAATCAGCAATCTTTGGGAATGACACGATGTGAAACTAAAGACTTATTTCAAAACAAAAAGGAAAGAAAAGATCAATTTTTTCCGAGAAGAAAGCCTCAAAGATAATAAGAAAGTTGAAAACAGAAAAACCAGATATACCTTTGGAGCAACCCTTTTTACATATGCAGCAATACCAGCTATAAGGCTACCACCCCCAGCCTACACAAAAATTGCATGCAATGAACCCTTTGTGTGGTGCATAATTTCCATCCAACTATGCCCTGCCCCATAATAACATCTGGGTGATCAAAAGGAGGTACGAAGCTCATTCCCTCCTCTTTCGCCCGCTTCTTAGCATAAGCTTGAGCCTCATCGTATATGAATCCCCTATAAGAACAACCATGGTGCCCAACCTCTCAACCGACTTCCACTATACAAAAGCAATACGCAATCAAAACATTCAATAAGCCAACCACACAAATTTCAATTTCAAATAACCAGCTCCAAAGGAAAAAAAGTACCTTAATCTCCGGTGTGGTTGATAGAGATTTTACCACACACGCAAAAAGGTTAAAAACTCCTATATTACTTGCAAGAATGACAAGGTTGTTGTAGTATAAATGGATCTCGCAAGGTCGTTATCTACAGGGATTATTAAATAATTCAAAACAAACCTAATTCCAATTAATTATTGTAAAGCAGAAAGTTGAGATGATTAGTTTTATAACCTACTTAAATTAAAACGAATTTAATTAATAAAAATAAACTAAGATGCAATATTAAAGATGAAAGGAAAAGAAAACTATTTTGGAAAAATCAAATTAAGAAAGCACTAGGGTTCCACCATCACCTAGCAATCCTATGTATTTTTACCAATTACTTATGTTCTACACATGCCACTTTGAAGGTTAGGTTTTCCTAATTTATATTCTACTTGGAACCTCCAACATAGAACGTATATCTAACATGCAACCCATTTGGACGTTCGGATCAAATCTGAACATGAAAAACTCATTATGCTTTATGAAAACCCTTGAAAAACCATGCAACCCTTAAGACGTGGTGTTCATCATAAGTGAAATTACAATTATTAATTACAAGAAGCCAGCATCAATTTCAGGGAACCTTCCGACCAAAACTGCACCAAATTACTTTTCTAAGGATACTAATGGTGATCAGGCATTAAGACAATTAGATAGTTTTAATCACAGTGATTAGTAATTCAAAGTGCACATGCAAACAATCATAAGCAATTGAATAAAAATTACATATTCATGCTAAGGCTCAAGGCTTTGCCCTAGCAAAAGGAATTAGTTGCGCATATTCATAATTGAAATCATAGAGAATATTATTAAGAATAAAAGGAATGAAAACACCTTAAAGTAGAAAATCTCCAAGAACCCTAGCAATTACTCTCTGACTCCAAAATTGCATAAAAGAAAGCCTTTCAAAGATTAAGAACGGCCAAGCAATATGTTTGCTGAGCCATCACACAAACCCTAAAACATAGGTCTCTTATTCCAACTAGGAAACTAAATAATAATAAAATAAAATAGAAAATAAAACCCTAATTAAATTAGGAGAATCTGCCAAGCACTTGTCCAGCCACATTTTAGCTTCAAATCTCCTCCAAATCGGGCCCATAATAGCTTGCTTTAGGATCAGGACGTTCTGAACACATCTCCAGAAGGCCACAAACCCATCCGAGGTCATCTTGGGCTCCAAAAACGCAATTCAAGCCCAAAACGTCACTATTCCAGCACTGCACATGGCTCTTTTATTTTATTGCCAGAAAATCATCGCTTGGTAGAAAAAACTGATATTTTGACACGATCAAGCTAAGTGATTCACGAACGTCCTCCAATTAGAATTACTCCAAAATTCGTCCATTTGACCATGTTTTGCTCCAAAAGAAGTCGAAAGTCCTATATTAGAAATACAATTCAAAATATCAAAATTCTTCCAAATTATTAACCAAAATATACTAAGAATAGGGTAAAATATATAATATAAAATATACTCATCAGTGGTGACCGGCATTGCAATCATGGCAGTGCAATTCAAATTCTTGGCAGCCAAGGCAACACCCTGGGCATGGTTTCCTGCCGAAGAGCAAATAACCCCACTATCCAATTGCTCCCTCGGAAGCCTTGCCATATGTTGTAAGCTCCACGAAGCTTGAACGAGAAAACGTACAAATTCGAACACCACAACTTCAAGCTATTGGCAGCCTTAACTATGAAACCTCTATTGATGGATTATTAATTAAGGATATTAAGTCGAGTTTATGGGGTTTTGAATCCGTTAGACTTTACCATGTTCGTCGAACCACTAATTATGCAACACATAGAATGGCCAAGGTGGCTTTGTTTTCTAATTTTTCTAGTCTTTTCGTTGTCATTTCATATTGGGATATCAGGATCGGAATTTGATCATCCAACAGCCTATCACAAACATCAAATTGGTTTTGTAAGATGGAGAGCTCAACATCGAAGGTAGATATCATCATGAAGCCAGTGCTTCGTAAAGCTGGGATTCCTTTACCTTTGCCAGTGGCTGGTTTCATCTGTGCCAAGATTGTGGCTAATCCAAGTGTTAATCTGTAAGGGCCTTCATTAGAAACTGATGATCAGGTGTGTTCCCTAGAGATCAATTCTCTGAAGTTTAGATACGAGGATGGTTTACATGGTTTCAGCTTTACTTGTATACATTCAACGGAATGCTTGGAGATCCAAGATAATAAACGCAAATTGGAACAAGAGATTTCACACCTGAGAATCCGACTTGATGAGCTTCAGAAAAAGGAATCTAAGTTAGAGATGCAGTTTATATGCTATTGTGACTTGAAAGAGCAAGAATCTGTTCTTATGGAGTTTTCGAATATGTTGCTATTGGTAGTGGCTTGGTTGAGTTCTTGGAGAGAGAAGCTTCATCCAGGGAGGTTGAGAACCAAAGGCTTGAGAAATTCATTGGAGAATGTTTGAGAACTTTGGAGCAAATGGAGTATTGGAAATTAGAAAATGGGTTGCTTCAGAGGAAGGTAAAGAAACTTTTGCGGAAAGTAAAACGGCAATCTTGCCTAATACACGAATAAGACTAGAAGCTTGATGCTAGGGAAGCAGAACTTTTGGGAATCCATGGTGCACTAGAAACAAAGACAAAGGTTATCAAGAAATTGGAGAATGAAACTGGGGAGTTGAGAGCGCTTTTGGAGCAATTGCAGGATGAGAAAAAAGGGCTCTTGGCAAAGCTTGGGTTGGCAGAAAAATTGGCTTCTTCAATCTCCAAGGTGAAATCACTCTTCTATAACGTAATAGAAATCACTGTATTAGAAAAAAATGCATTAGAAATCACATTGATAGTCTAGCCATTTTGAGGTATCCCATAACGCAGATTGAAGAAGGGATCCAAATCGGGGACTATACAGTACAGGCCTCGAAAAGAAGTTGGAGAAACTGAAAAAAGATCATGCATCTAAAATCAAGGAACTGATTTACTTGAGGTGGATCAATACATGCTTAAAGGCACGAGTTAATGAGAAATCAAGTGCGACAAGAACAACAGGCTCAAGAGAAGGATAATAATCTGGAAACAGATTTTGAAGGAAGCTCAAAAGCTGGAAATTGTGGGATGGAGCATGAATTGACTAGCATGGTTGTGGAGCACAATAAACCTTGCTTTGGAAATGTGAGGAGTAATCAGGAGCGTTTGAAAAGGCGAAAGTTATTCTGCAGGCTTACAAGATGGGTGGAAAGGAATGAGAAGGGAAGAGGAAGACTGGATGAAAAAGAAATGCATGACGAATTCAAGTGTTTTGGAAGACATTCTGTTTCAGATTATGCAGAGAAGCATCACATTGCAAGGAGATCTTGCTCAAGTGCATGAACCAAGGTTCTAAAAAAAGTTAGTGCTAGTCGGACGGCAAGCTGAGACCTAGCGCCTAGACAACTAGGTGGATATAACTAATTTATTATATATTGTATAAATAAGTGTCTATTTATACTTTAAAACACACATAATTATATTGAGATTAAAATAAAATGACATATAAATTATAAAGTATTAGAACATATTGAAAACATGAGGAACAAACATATAATGAGTGTTTGTCCAAGTATTCAACAAGTCTCTTACATTTTATTGAAAAATTAAAATGCAATATGAAAGTTATTAACTTTCTATCTAAATGACAGTCGAGACCTAGGCAAGTTTAAGCGGGCTACACGGGCGCCTATGCTTGCTAGATGGACGCCTAAGCGGGCCTAGGTGCACTTTCTTAATTTTCAAATGCCTAGAGACTAATAGGGGCCATAGCCTACCTAATGTGTAAGCGGGACCTAGGCGGAGATTTTTAGAACAGTGGCATTGTGACAACCCGTTCCAAATTTTACGTTTTTATTTTATTTTAAAAGCGTGAATTTACGAAATTGCCCTAGAGGCAAGGACTTTGACTTCCGTTGACCATCGACTTGAGAGATGTGGGACTTATTCTTTTAACATATCCTCGTAGTACTCATTGGTACGAACGTATGGGCAAAAACCGTTTGCGAGTCCGGACTATAACGGTATACTTATGGACGTTTGAAATTGGTTATTTAAATATTTGAATTCCCACCTTGTGGGATTAGTGGACCAATTAAATTAAAAGGACAAGGAACCAATTAGAAGAGAGAAGTGAAGCTTGCAGCCAATCAGAAAGAAAGAAGAAAAGAAAAAAAAAAAAAAAAAAAAGGGGGGAAAGCTTCCCTTGCACCCATACCTGCACCATCGCGAGTCCATTTTCCAAGGCGGATTTCGGCCAACTCCGGTGGAGTTTTTCGATGCCACCACCACCATCTTGAAGCTCTCATTCCCCTCTACAAAACCCACCCAAGAACCACCTTGATTAACCATGGGATGTGGAGGTTTGAGGCCACGAAAGTTGACGAAAATCAATGGTGCTCCGGCCACCCTTTTCGATTTTCTGGCAAATCGGCAAAGCGATGGCCGATGCCACCACTTGGGCTTTGTAGCCCATCATCCTAGGAGCAAAACCCAACCACCTTGACCCCATTGGACCATCGTAGACGACGAATCGACGTCAGGAAGTTTTAGGCACCCGCCGGCTTCGTGGGCAAAATTGACCATCTTCCGTCCACTTTTGGACTTCGTGGTAGGTATGAAAGTTGCTCCACTCACTGAGATCTTCATTTCTGTGAAGTTTGAGAATTTTTGGAAATAGTTGGATTTTCCGGTGAGTCGGGGCGGCCGACCGCCACCCGCGGCGTCGCGTGCGGCGGCGCGTGGCTAGTGAGCCGCCAATGCTATTTTTAGGCTATGTCGAATGTTTTGAATTCAGTTTTGTCATTTGAATGACGTAGGTTGATCGTTGGAACCTAAATTCGTTATGATACGTTACTTGATAAAAATGTGAATCGATGATCCGACCGTTGGATCGTCACCAAAATTGGATACATTATAATACGTAATATTTAAAGATCATAGGAATTTACAGATCTGGAATTCGGCTTACGGATCTTCCTGAATTGGATTTGTAAGTTAGTAAAATAAATGTTCACGGCCACTTGTTTTAGGCAATTGGCGGAGATTTGACCGTTGGATCGTAATGAAATTTTAATATGTTATTCTAGAAACATATTGTGGATTGTTGGGAGTTGCGGATTGAAAATCTGATATGCGGATCTTTCGGGTCAAGTTATACAGGGTTGTAAACCCTACCGTCGATCTTTGATCGACGGTTGACTTGTGGTCAATGGGTCCCAAACTATTTTAGAATGTCGTTGAGGTTGTGTTTTATGTGAATTACGTATTCTTCGAATAAGAGTTCTGAGATGTGATTTGATAATTGGTCACAGGGACCAATCATTCAGGACGCCTCGATGTGTGCGCTAGAGAATCATAGCGTGGACTCCAGGTAAGTGGATCTTTTCCTTTTTATCGTACATATTGTTGAGAGTTCTATCGACACTTTTAAATTGATTAGGTATATTACTTTCATATATAATTATTGTGAATGCTTGAAGTACTATATGAACTACGAATGGCTTGATCCTTGTTTAGGGTACGTAGGCAGTCTAACGAGACGTTAGATGCAGCCATAAAATATTTGAGACAAAAGCCTTGCTTGGGAAATTGAGTAATGCGGAGGAAATTGGTAAAGGCAAGTTTTAGTTTTATGAATTAGTTTGTTAAATTAGTGTTAATTGAGTTGTCATGGATAATTATCCCTGAAAATAAGTAGTTTGGGAGTAGGCGTTATTGATTGTACACTTCTCACTGTATTGTTTATAATTGAAAATGGTACGACATGGTTGAGTATTAGATTGCATCATGGTATATCCATATGTATATTACTTGCATATAATTATTGGGAATGCTTTCAAGTGCAAAGGTGAACGCAGGACACCCAGGTAAGTTCAGGTGAGTTATGATATTAGTTGAATCGATTGCGTTATAGCATGACTATAGTTATGTGTTAGGCAACTTCGATATTATTGTACTGGTTGCCATGAGTTGCACATGTTATATTGAGATGCATTGAGAGCTCATAAATGATAGGAGCATATTCATGCGACTTAATTAGCTTGTTCTCGTGCATTTATGTTGTGTTTACTTAGCTATTTTAGTGTTTAAGGCCACTTTTGTGTATTTTCAGATTATAAGGCCAAAGTGTGCAAGAAGATGCAAATTGGAGTATTTTGGAGCGAAAGAGGAATGAATGAGTTGAAGACTTGAAGAAACGACGAATTCCTACTCCAACGAGGAATTCCTACCAAAACGAGGAATCCTACTCAAACAAGGTTTCCTACTTGAAGTAGGAGAGTCAACCCTGTTGGAAATGTGCCCTAAAACCAATCATATGATGATACTTTATGGACATTTCACATGTTAAACTAATCTAGTTTAATATTAAGGGCAAACATTATTGTTTGAGCCGTCTCATATAAATGTTATATGCTTAAACGATAAGTCCAAGGAATATGTGATTGGAAGAATGCGATCTAAAGAAGTTAGATTCATGAGACCATTCTTTCGTTGACACATCCTAAACGTTCCTGATCATAGGATTATCAATTGGGCATTGACAGTCCGTTAAGATCAGTACGTGCTATGTCTTCTCTCAGGGAGAGTGACTAGTCTCGAGTCATTGGTGTGTGTGACATCAAGACAAGTACGTAGGTGCTCAATAGAGAATGAGTTCACTGAACACGATCAACGAAGAGTTCTCATATTCATGTCACATGAGAACTCATGGTTGGGATAATGCAAATTAGTCTTTTGACCTGAGGCATCACAGTTGTCTTGTGGTTAGGTCCTTAATCTTTGATTATGTCAAAGTCACTCCGTCATGAGGGTGTCCATGGCATCGTTGGGGTTAAGCCACTTAGCCATGGAGGCAAGTGAATGCGCAACAAGGGATCTCTAACCTTCAAACTGTTTGAGGGAGAATACTCTATGATATGATTAAGAATCTTTGGCCAAAGTATGAATGAGATTTAGGAATGTATTCCAAATCACATTCAAGGTAATCATATAAGCACATGACTCACATTGGATAGTAGACATGAATAAACTATCAAACCAAACAATGTGGTCAAGAGTATTGTATTAGAGAAAGACCGTATTGCATTTGTAATCCTAAAACTGAATAGGTTCTCCACCTCTTCTGATTAGCTTGGGTAACCATGACATGCTGCTAGGCGTCAACCATGGTTTGTGGAAGCCCTAAAAGTGTATTATCACTAACGGGAGAATTGAAAGTAAGTTTCAATTCACAATCGATTAGAAAGAGTTTTAATCGCCCACTGCCTCGCTAAAAGGAACCTAATGGATCGTTCACCGAGTAAGGTAGAGTTTGAAGAAACAACGGAGATGAGTAAGAATAATTAAATGGTTTAATTATTTATCTAAGGCTAGGATTAATTAATATGTTAATTAATCAAACAAATAAGTTCGTTAAAGACCTCGGGTTAGTTTTGGGCCGCAAGGCCCAATGGGATTTGAATGTCAAGCCCATTAACTCAAGTTGTATGACAACTTGCATAAACAAAGGGCTTGAAAGCCCAATAAACCCTATAGGCTTGCCATGTTAGAAGAATAAGGCTTTTGGTCCATTAGGTCACTTATTTGAAGGGACTATATAAAGGACTTTATAGCCTAAAATTTACATATGGTAATTTTTGGGGAAAGGATGAGAACACAAGCTCTCCTTTCTCTCTAAAATTTAGGCCACCTTGGAGGGATCATCTAGCAATCAAACTCCTCCAAGGTCACTCATTTCTTCTTCATTATGCCTTGGTGATGAATAATTAGAGGTTCTCAATTTTGGGAACTTGGAGAAACCTTTTCATCCATCCAAATCCATGGATCTAAGATGCAAGGAATGAAGGCCCTCTCTTTGGGTGATTAGCCTTTGCTTATGCAAAGAGGAATCTACAAAGGTATTGATTTCTCAACTCACTTTGTTTTGAGTTGAGTCTTGGTTCACCTATCTACTAGGCTTTGAATTTCATGGGTAAATGTTTTGTTTTAAGTGCATACAAGCATGATTCCGCCTTTAATTGTTAATTGCATGCTATTGATGTTGCTTAAATGAACATGTTTTTCACAAATTTTCCTTCAAGTGGTATCAAGAGCCTAAGTCTAGTAGTTGGTGAATCCTTTTGGGTTTTGTAGTTCATAGTTTGTGATTTGAATGTTGTAATTGTTACAAGCTTTATTCTTGCTTCTTTGAATGTAAATTTTGTTAGAAAATTTGCCATCTCAAATGTTGTAGATGTAGTTCATATGAGCATGAATTTTGGAGCTAAAATTTGGTGCCATGTTTTTTGGGGAAATTCGGCCAAATCCAAAGGGTGGATTTTTGGGTTCTTGTTTGACTTGTT